ATGGTGTTAAATTTTTAAAAATCATAGCAACTGGACTATGAAAAAAATAAAAGTAGTAAAATTCTTTTTAAAATTCAACAGCAAATTAGATCAGGTGAGTCCACACGGAATCTGATACTGATCTGTCTCCTGGGCTTTTTTTTTTTTTACCTCTCCCTCCCCACACCAAGCTCCAGAGGAGGCTGGGAAGGAGGTGAGGAGGAGGCTGGGGAGAGGGTGGGGAGTAGAAGAGGCTGTTAATCCTCTACCAGGTCTCAGTAACAAATGAATTGTCAGAACCGTGGGGCTGTGGACGAGGCTTGTGCTCCTCATATCTGCTTCCGTGTGGACACAGAGCAGTCATTGCTACATCTGCTTTTAGCAAAGTACGAGACAGCCTAAGGCAGAGGTTCTCAACCTGTGAGTCTCAGCCCCTTTGGCAAACTGCTATCTCCAAAAATATCTCGATTACATTTCATACCAGTAGCAGAATTACAGTTATAAAGTAGCAACAAAATAATGTTATGGTACAGGGTGGCAGCATTACGAAGGTTGAGGAGCCCTGCCCTAATCAATGCGCCATGAGAAAAGCAAAAACGGAGTTAGGTTTTCTGTTTTACTAAGGAGTCCTCTTAGAATCTCAGAGTTTCCTTCTGCTCAAATATGACATGAAAGTACTAAGTTATTCAGTCCCTTACAGGCCCAAAGAAGGAATCCTGGGGTTCCTCAGAACTCCCCTGATTCCACCCCCCCCATTTCATAAACCCATCCAGCTTTTCAGAGTGTCATAGGTCTTTGTTTTGCTCAGAGACTCTTGTAATCCAAAAGTATAAATGACAATTATTTTTTAAAAAAAATAATAATAACCATGCACTCTGCTCACTCTCAGCCAGTTGGCAGTGGAGGCGTGGGTAAAAGGAGGGATGAAACCAGTGTAGGCCACAGGCCGCTGAAGACAACAGCCCTGGGAGTCTTCTTTGAGGACTCTTCTGAGGTGGGTCACAGGCCAAGCACTAGGGTCCCTACCCTGGGTGTGAATTGGTGCTGAATCCAAGAAATCAGGTTTCTGGTGAGAGAAACATGGAACCTCTTGCTCCTCAATCCCTCTGGTAAACAAGCAGAGAGAAGCCTCCCAGGGACTGCCACAGAGCTCGGTCAACATCAGAGTTCTAGAACACCACAAATCACTGCATTTGCAACAAACAGATCCTGAAGAATTATTTTGAAAACAACCCCCTCCCCCACTCCCAAAAATCTTCCCTGGGGTTGAACCAACTCAAAGAACACTGGGAGCAAGAAAATGTCTTCCTGGAACATATCATGTAATACATCTCTTTTTTCAAAGAATCTACGTCTCTGCTTCACAATATATGGTCACCACTTGCACCATTCAACAATATTACCTTAACCATTTCCCACATTGCATTCATTGAATGAGCTGTAGTTTCACTAAGTCGTCCAGTCTTCGGAGTCATCAGTCAATCAGCATCTCTCTCTGATCACCACAAATGGCTTGTGAATGCCCTTCTCTGAGCCTTCTGGGAACTCAGTAGGAGGCGCCTTCCTGTCCCTGCTCAGGAAGTGAAGTGCTGTGGTGTGACTAGTTAGAGCCAATGTCACAAGGAGCTCCAGAACTTTCTCTAACATTGCCTCCCTTGTCCTGACTGACCAGGCTGTTGGAGAAACCAGCGCAATGCAGAATCTACAGCCTTTAAGTGTGTGTGGCCTGCTTGGGCAAGTCTGGCTTAGCTACAAAGAAGAATCCAATAAAGAAAAGCAATCATTAGAAACAGAACCATTGCAAGGGTGCCCTGAAGCAGTGTGGAAATGTGGAAATGGAAAAACTACCCAGAAAAGATAGCTTTGAAGGAGCCTGAGGAGATTACAGTTCTATTAGTTGAGGAATTGTGGGGTATAGCTGAAGAAACATGAGGGAGAGATGAAATGAGGGAATAGACCAAGGAAAGTGGGAGAAGAAGAGTCACGGTCAAGCAAAGCACAGAGTCCAGAGGACTCACAAACAAGTGATTTTGAGTGGAACAAGACCCGGAGGAAACGAGAAATGGAGACAGTGGCAGAGAGGGAAGGGGACAGCAAGAGTGAAACCTCTTTGCAAAAAAGCTTCGTTCCCTTCCTGTGCTGCCCAAGCCTTGAGGAGAAATGCTTTCTGACTGCCTCTCTCAGAAATGGCCTAACTTTGGACCCTGATGTGACTTATCATCACACAAATACTACATTCCAGAGTCATTTGATAAAATCAGAATTATCATGAGTAAGTGATCCTATTTGAGCAGTCATCTTCAACAGCCAGTCAGACAGAGCAGCCAGTTAGTCGTGCTCGGCATCCATCAATAACTCAGTACCAGCCAGGAAGTCATGATCAGTGACAGTCACTCAGTATCAGCCAATCAGATAACCAATGTCAGCCACTCAGAGTCAGCCAGTCATAATCCGTGTCCATAGATCAATGAATCAATGCCAGCCAGCCGATATTTGTCATTGCCTCATAAAAGCCAGTCAGTGAATCAGAACAGTTTGTCTTTCTGTCAGTCAGTCACCATCACTGTCAATCAGACAGTCCTTGTCCACCAGTCAATGACATAGTCACTGTCAGTGACTTAATGTTAGCTTACTGAATGTGTTGGTGCCAACTACTGTTGGTGTCCATCTGTCTGTGTCACTGGTCCAAAGACATCTGTTAGTGGGTCACTGGGGCCATGACTCAGTGGGTGTCAGTCAGTGTCTGTCAGTCAAGCAACATCAGTCACTGTCAGTCAGCAGGCCAGATTTAAGCATGGTGTTCGCAGGTTTCTGACTGCTTGCCCACTGTCTTTCTGTTTTTCTCAGCACCTTTTCTGTTTCTGAGACTTGGGACAGGTGTCCCTCCTCCATGTGTCTCCAGGAACTCACAACAAATTAATTACCCAATGGGATCAGGTCCACTGCCCTTCATCTCCAGCTGCCCCACCTGTACGTCCACCCCCCACACCATCACCCTTAGCCACTGTGACCGTGAAGTTTCCTGAACTCTGAAACGTCAGCTCCAAAGAGCTTCTTCCACAACCGTAGGGGTGTTTGATGGTGTTCTACTGAAGGGCTCGTCTGGCTCTGATCCCAAAATTGGCTCAATGTCCAGGACGATACTCCAAGTTCTATTGCAGCAGATTTCTCTGCTCGTCCCTGACTGTGGATGAGCAGATATGAGGGTCACCAAAAAGGACAAGAAGTTATTAGGGACATCATAAGGCTTGGCTCAATCCTCAGGTTTGAACATAGTTATGGACATGTGTTCTGTCTGTCTGTCTCTCTGTCTGTCTGTCTGGACAATGGCCCTCTATCTTTTTGAGGGATCTGCTCCCCTCCTTCCAATGTCCACCCACCCTGTATGTTTGTGAAGAAACTAACCCTCACAATTTACACCCATGTGCTAGCCAGAGGTGGGTGTGAGATTCAGGCTAATGTATGTGACCCACATCGGGTCACTCAGAACTCTTCCCCAGGATTTTTTTCAAGGTTGCTTCTTGAATCTTCAGCTGAAAGGACATATGCTTGAACCTGCCTGCAGGATAGCTCTCACTGTCTAGAGAAAAGCCTAGAAGAAAACAATAAGGTAGAAAGAGAGAGAGAGAGAGAGAGAGAGAGAGAGAGAGAGAGAGAGAGAGAGAGAGAGAGAATGTGAAAGAAGCAGATCCAGAAGGAAACAGAGAAGAGACACCTGGAGGACTTTGCAGCCTTGAGGGATGCCTCCACCTTTGGTGTCCTTCCATTTGGTCCTGTAACCCAGGGTGGCAGCCAAGGGACTTTGCCTAATATGGTGTAATTGCTGCCAGGTGTGGGTAGCCCTTGCCCATTTGGAAGTGGATTATTCCCTGCGTGTTTGCTCAAATATCTTGACTTCTCCACTCTAGGAGCCTGTATCAGCCTGGGCAGAGACCTCCTGGATAGAACCCCACATCCCCAAGCAGGAGCCTAGTACCTGCTCTGGATGCCCACGACTTGTGTTATCATTGTTGTTGTTGGGTTTGGCTATAAGGGGTGTGTGTGTCAGCACATGTGTGTGTTCATGTGTTTGTGCGTGCATGCAAGTGATGAAAGCTGACCTTTTTCACCAGTGTTTTGCTGTGAGAGCACCCTAGGTGCTGAGAATGCTCTCTTCTAGCCTACCTTCTTTTTAAGAGTTTCATAGAAGGTGTCCTGTGCACTTACACAGGACTCTGTACTTAGAAGAGCCCTGGACTTGGTTTAACATTCTGCTGTCACCAACTTGAAATTTGTAGTCATTTAAAAGAGACCCTATGCTTTTATTGTGCACGTACCTGATGCTGGCTCCATGGAGCCCCTTGTGGCGGGATTTGTGATGCCCATGAACCTCTCCAAGTCCCTAAATCCTGTACCTCCCTTGTTCCTTAAAGTCCCTGCCTCTCCCTAAGATCTCTGCCAACCCCTTCTACTCCCAGAGGGGACTTTTCTTTCAGCGGCTATCAGCCTCTGTGGCTTCATCCAAACTACCCATGCCAGCCAACATCTGGTCCAAGGCATTCCATTTGACTTCACATCAAACCAAAGCTGGGATTCCCTTTACTTAGAACAGTACTGAAATAAGCAGCTTTTCTTGCTTCTCAACACTTAAATTCTGTGATTCAACCTCAAACCTTCTTCCAGTTGGAGCTTCTGGGGAAAGTACATCCTGCCCTCCCTGGGACACTGAGAACTCCCTCTGCTTCTGGCTTTCGAAGAGGGAGCTAAACTCTGGAATCTCTTTGCTGTATCTGGAATGGGGACCAGGTCTAGCAAACTGATGAGCAACCTGTGATCTTGGAAACAGCCTGCTCATTAACTTGGGATGGGTCCAGCTACTTCCAGGGGAGGGTGAAGGTAAGCTCTAACATATCACAGCTGCACCCCCCACCCCCAGGGAGAGAGTACAGAGACTGGACATTAGCCAAGACTTCTTACCCATCCTGTTAAACTTGGGGGGAAAAAACAGTGGGGAAAAGAACTGACAGGAGAAATCACCACGGTTTGACTGTGGAGTCCAGGTGTGGAAAAGGTGGTTTATTTTTAGAGCATGGTAACAGCTATGCAACTAGGGATGGTCCATTTATGTCTCTCATCCACAGTTGTGTGTCACAAGGACATACTAAGACTTTGGAATTTTCCAAAGGTGATTACATCTGATATGTGCAGTTACACACTCACACATATCTCTTCTCTTCTCCCCCACCCCTTGTACTTCTCTTAATCACAATGAACCAAATAAAATAGCTTTGCAGCTTACTAAAACTCAAACTTGTCTTCAGAGGAAGCAGTTTAAACATTTCCAACAGTTAATTTGCAATGCATTGATTCGAAGCAGGAAACAAGGTCGGGGAATCAAACAGTGGTTCTAACAGTCTTGTGGAAAGGAAACACATACACACACACACACACAAAGGAAAAAATTCAAAGGATTTAGAAAGAGCAGACCCTCTTCAGGACAGAGGACTCAAGATAAGAAACAACACTCTGAGAACAGTGTATGCTTTGAAAAGGGCGTGAGGAACGGATCTACAAGAAGCCAGGTTAAGAATGCAGTTTTAAAAGAGAGTTGACTTCTGAAAAGTCATATGGCTGTCCTGGTACCAAGGAGTCAAGTTTACCATGAATACCACAACAGCATGTTCCCTGAGGCATACCGTTGCTGTGCCAACAAACATGGCCGGTAACAAAGGGGTGTTTCCCAAATGTACCTACCACACTTCAGGAACTCGGAGGCTTTGGCAAACAGATCCCATTGGCAGGTCTCTTCTGACTCTTTCTCTGACCAAATGAACTACTGAGTCCCTCAGGAGCAAATGAGTTGGAACCTGGCAGGCTACCACTGTAACTGGGACGTGTGGATGCTGCTACAGATGCTGGGGTCCCTCGGAATGCTGGGCCCAGGCCCCAGCAATACTGTATCATTTCTTGTCCCTTGTAAATGAATGAGCCTCTTCTCCCCCAAAACCCAGAGCCAAAGTTATCCAGAAGACACAGCTAAGTAAAGTTGCAATAAACCAATCCAATTCGATGCTAAACCACCTGGAAGCTGATTTTTGTTGTTGGTTTTGAGGGGATAGTGGGTAGATTGGAATTTCATCTCTGTAAGGTCCAATTTAGAAGAGTTTGAAGAATCACCACAAAGAAAGGCTGATTTAAGGGGAAAAAAGGCAGGCTGAATCTTGTGTTGTGATGTTTGGGAAATATGGTATGTATGTACAAAAAGAATAAAGACCCAGTGAGAAGACTCTTAGGATCAGGTGCCCTGGGACAGCTCCACAGTAAAATTTTCAGAAGGCTGGATTCTCCTGTGAGTGAGATTAGCATCGGCAACTTCAAAGCTCCAGACAGCAACACCTTCCTTCCTGTGTCACCTGAATACATATGTTAAACATCATTTGACACCACAAAAGTCAAGATTGATTTACCAGCCATTTTCAATCTTTCACACACACACACACACACACACACACACACACTTACAGGAGTTTATATCAAACTCAGCTTGATCACCTTGATTAGCGGTGATGACCAGCTGAAACATTTGTGGATGCTACTTAGACCCAGATACAGATGTGTTCTGGACAAAGCCTTCCAAACACATCACCCTGTCCATGCAGCAGGCCCTGCCTTCAGGGAGCATCCCCAAGATCCCCACGGGTATCCACCACTGAAGATGAGAAAGAAGTCTCCCACCGACTACCTTTGAAAAAAACGGTGTCCAACCGCAATGATGCATGCAGATTAACAAGCAACTGTGTCCCACCTGTCCAAGCTGTGAGTCAAGCCTGGGCCACCACCCCTTGCAGTGTTATGAACCTGTCCCATAAGGATCCCGCAATGGAGCACCATTCTTTTGGGATCTCTGAAGGAGGGTAAGCGGAGCCATGTCTGAGAGCACAGGATCCGAGGTCATCACAGGGTCCTCTCGGTCAGATGGGAAGACGCTGCAGAGCGCAGCGCGTGTTCCCCCACCATTGGTGGCGGGCTGTGCTGACCCCAGAGGTCCTCTAAAGGTGCCCTCGCCCCAAGCCGACTCTGCCCAGGTCGAGTGGCTCAAATAACGGTAAGAGCTGGGCAGGAGGGCCCACGGGTGTTCCAGTGGTCCGCGCTGGGGAGCCAGGTCACTGTGCACGTCCCTGGAACGGTGTCCGTCCGACGTCTGGGCCTGTGGGCAGACTGGGGACCCGAGATCACCGGGAGAAAGCGAGCTGCTCGGAGTCCGGAGGCACCGCAGACCCGGCGACCCTGGGGTTGCAGCGCCGCCCGCGCGAAGGGATGGCGAGTCCCAGGACGTGGAGCCACCCGTTGGCATCCAGTCCAGTCCTCGCGACCGGGACACGACGCCGTTGGCCGCGGTGTCGCTGAAGGTCAGCCGAGCGAAGCTCCTGTTCAGGGCTGCCAGGGCCGCGGGCTGCCGGGCCAGCGGGAGGTTGTGCGCACCCGGCTCCCGGGGAAGCGGCCGGGCTGCTGTGGGACGGCTTCGGGCGCTCGGTGGCCGCGGCTCCTCGGGGCCACCACTCGGCCAGGCCCGCGTCTTGGCTCGGAGTTCGTCGGCCACCGGCAGCTGCCCGTGGTGCGGTCTCTCGGGGTGGTAGAATCTGCACTTGACCCCGTAGGTGCATTTCTTGCCTAGAAGAGGCAGGCCGGAGGGGGCGCGGGATGAGACCTGGGGTGAGCAGAGGCTATGATACCCTTCCCCAGGCCTCTGTCTCGGCTACTTTCCATCCCGTGAATGACTAAGGTCTGGAAAGTGACCGGGGTGGCAAGTGTTCTGAGGTGGATGGAAGATACAGTGCTCAGAGCTCTTGTAGGCCCCAAGGTCAGCTGAGTAAGTAACCCATCCCATTGGGAACTTCCTTTGAGCAGAGTCTAAGTCCAAACAGGTCACCCTTACTTAGTCTCATCTCCCGGGGGTCCTGCCCTTGAGAATAGAGCCCGCAGTAGAGCTGCTGGTGGTGTAAGATCTAGCTCTGCCTCGGTTTCCGCTAATGGCCACATGCCCCCCGCCCCCGCCCCCCTCCCAGCGTCCCAGCACTAACAATTGCCTTCTCTCTATACCTGTTCTAACAGGAGATGCAAAGTACCAAATCATTGACCGTCTAAACCCAAGCGCTTCAACCCGACATTCTGGGCCAGCCCGAAAGGATAATCACGTTAATTCTAACAAGAAACGATTTTGAATGCCACTCATGTCTTAATGAACGTTCATAAGCACAAAAGGCAGGAGCACTAAATATCATGACAAGGCAGGTAGGGAACGAGCTATTGAACAGTTAGCTTGGATGAAACCCTTAATTCTGAATGGCTAGTATGGACCAACTTGGTAAGGGCGGGAGTAAACCAGACAAACAGGTACCAAGGAAGCAGTGAAGGCTCTAAAACAAGAGCATGGGATGCGTGGTTTGTGTCCCCCTGAGTGTGGCTCTACATCCAACTCTCATGGGTGTCAGTTCATCCTTAGAGTATCCTAGCTGTCAAACTGCAGTCCGGAAATGCTAGGCTTCTCCCCAGGGTCAGGTAGCTAGCTGAGGGCAGAGCTTGCTTGGGCTGGAACCTAGGTTACTGTCTGCCAGGTTAGAGCTTCCTACTGTGCTTCCAGAGCCCACAAAACCTGGGTGCTACCCACCATAGGGACAGTGTTGCCAGGAGGGCTCTGGGGGCCTTGGCTTCTTGCTTAGGAAATTACTGAGGGTTGGTCCACGGCGGCCCAGGGGATCATCAGGAGGCATGAATCTGAAAAATAAACAAAGGAGCCTCTTCAAGAGCAAATGGGACTTACCACAGGTACCTATATGGAGGCTTAGGAGAGGAGGCCTGAGCCACCCAAGAGAGTAAATACCCAGATAGCATGACCACGCACCCAAGAAGGTACATGTACACAGCATCCCTTCCCATCAGCCTGTCCCAACATGATGCTGGCCAGTAGGTTCAGAATTATCTTACAGCTTGTTAACAAATGCAGACTGAAGCTTTGCATTGCGCGTTAGGCAGAATTACATCCCCCCACCCCCGAAATTGACATGTTAACAGCTTCCTAGGTGATTTTTATGCAGAAGAAGAGCTTAATGCTTGAGCTCCCATCCCTCCGCATCACCCTCACAAAAGCTTGAGAAAGTCCAAGGAGTTAACAGACAGCTCCTAGGAAGCATGGGAACTGTGTAAGCCCCTTGGAGGCTTGGGACTTGGTGATGGTAGATCTTGACTGTCAATTTGATGAAAATAACCTTGCAGACAGGCCCCTGGGCATGCCTGTTAGAGAGTATCTTTATGGGGTTAAATGAGGTGGAAAGATGCAGCCATTGTGGGCAGCACCATTCCCTAGAACTAGAATCCTAGACTGTATAAAAAGGGGACAAGGTGAACTGGGCCGGCATTCATCACTCTTTGCTTGTTGACTGCGGAAGCAACGTGGCCAGCTGCCTCAGCTTCTGACCACTGCGACTTCCTCGAACTGTGATGGACTGTAATCCAGAACCATGAATCAAAGTAAGCACTTAAGTTGTTTTTATCGGGTATTTTATCAAAGCAACAGACCAAGAAACCAAGACAGGCTCCTTCCACCCCCTCCCCTTACACCATGCTTCTCATCTCTGCAGATGCAGGGTCAATCTTAGCAGTCTAAGACACCAGCAGGTAAGTAGGCGAAGCAATAGCCCCACTCTGCAAACTCTGGGTGTAGAGGAACCCTTGGGCTTGGCCTCAGCTTCTGGGGTTGTCTTGACTCTGCACACATGGTCCTTTGATGCCAGCCTGTCTCCTGCCTGCTCTTCCTCCCTGGCACAGAGCCTCAACAAAGAAGGGACTGTGTTTTCCAAATGCTCAGGGCACCAAGCAGAAAATAAAATGGCTCAAAAGCTGGGCACTTGTCACGTATACCTGTAATCCCACTGTTGTGAAAGCTGAGGCAGGAGGATTGCAAGTTCAGGGCAGCCTGAGTAACTTAGTGAGACCCTAACTCAAAATAAAATTTAAAAAGGGAGGAGGGAGGGGTACCAGTGTGCTTCAATAGAGTGCTTACTAAATATGCCCAAAGCCCTGGGTTCAGTGCCAGAAACAAAATGCCTCTGGGGAAAAAAATAATGAAGCCCTTCCCATTTGCTGCATTTCCAATAAATCCTTTTGTTCCCAGGAACCCCTTCCAATTAGTCAGGAAGTTCTAGAGAAGGTTCTAGAAGTTTCTAGAGGAAAAAGAATGAGGAGAAGCGTCGTCTTTGACAGTTACCATCTCCGAACATCTGAGTGTGTCCCACCCTGAGGAGAGCTGAGTGATCTCTGACCCAGTGCAGACTCCAGGGTTCAGCTCCAGCCACACAGCTGGCTTCTTTGTGGAGTTGGGACCTGATCAAGAATCTGAGGAGCCGCCCACTGCAGTTATTAAAAGTTCTCAGAGGATTACCCCCCTCTCTTGGGAGCAAGAGCCGCCAAGAGTACCAAGAGGGCCCTGTGGACATGCCCAGGGCACTGAGGCAGGCGCCCTCACTCACAGGCTGTCAGAGCCTGCTGTCTGACCTCCCAACCTCTTAGAGCCTTGAAGGACTTGGCCAGGGACCCTGGCTGTCACCAAGCTAGAGGCAGCCATGGCCCATAGCCCTCAGTGAGGATTTCTGGAATCTCATTTCCTGACTTGCCAGATTCGTTTAGCCCAAAGCTGGACAGAGAAAGCCTCTAGCTCCTGGATCTGGAAGTAACGGTGGGGGTTGCTACAGTGCAGCTGCTGAAGCATCTGTCCTGGGTTCACGGGGAGCATCGCTTCCCAGGTGCAGGAACAGGTGGCAGTGGGAGGGGGCGTGTCCACACCTGTCCCCAGGAATAACTGCTACCCCTTGTAGGACACAGTCCCTCTCTAGGGTCCACTTTACTTCACCAGGGCAGGACCTCTGAAGAAACCACTGCATAGGGTCTGAAGCGTTGGCTCTCTCCGCTGCCCTACACCACCTCCCCAGCTTTGGTGCAAGGGATGGTCTCTTATGCACAAGTGGACCAAATCCCACAGAGAGACTCTTTCTCTCCTCTCAACCCCTCTTGGCCTGGCCCATAGTTGTTGTTCATTCATTCCTGCATCCATCCACCCCTGCATCACCAGCTACTGCATTTCTACTATGACACGAGCATGCTGGGAACATGGCAACTAATCAGGCATTCTGTGTCATCCTAGGGTCGAAGACCTTGTCTCAAACCACATGCCAGGAGGCTTGTCAGATATCCCAGAGTAAGAGTCCGTTGATTTTTGCCTGGAACAGAAACCAAAGGGCTGGGGTTGAAGCTCAGTTGGTAGAATGTTTGTCTGGGATGCACAAAGCCCTGGGTTACTTTGATCCTTAGCACGGTATAGACTGGACATGGTGGCCAGTCTAATACTTAGAAGGTTGATAGAGGCAGGAGGACTGGAAGTTCAAGGTGACTCTTCACTACATAAGTTTGAGGCCAGCCTGGGATATGAAGGAGTGCCTCACTTGGTGTTTCTAAAAGATTCTTCTGTATTATTTTAATTACGAGTAACTATATGTCTGCATATGTGAGCACAGATGCCTTTGGAAGCCAGAGCTATTGTATCCCTTGGAGCTGGTGTTAGAGAAGATTGTGAGCTGGCAGAGCTGGGTGCTAAGAACTGAACTCCAGGTCCTCTGGAAGAGCAGCAAGTGCTGTTAACCACTGAGCCCTGTTCTCAGCCTTAGTCTGTGTTTTTAAACTTGAAAGGAAATACAACATAGTTGAAATCCCTCCTCCATTATAAGTTTTTCAATTTTAATTTTTACTTTTTAGATGTATTTTTATTTTATGTATATGAGTGTTTTGTCCCCTGTCTCGAGAGTGTGTGTGTGTGTGTGTGTGTGTGTGTGTGTGTGTGTGCCACATGTATACCTAGTACCTATGGAAGCCAGAAGAGGGCATCAGATCCCCTGGAATGACAGTTAGGGATGGTTGTGAGCCACCATGCCAGTGCTGAGAACCAAACCTGGGTTCTCCGCAAGAGCAACAAGTGCTCTTAACCACTACACCATCTCTCCTGCTCCACTCTGCATGACGGCTGACTTAAGGTTCTTCCTTGAACAGAGCATAAAGTGCTGCCTTCAGGAGAAACAGACACAAGAGACTCTGAGTTGAGCGCTTGCCTGAAGAAGCCTGGCAGAGCGTGCAGGCTTCCGCCCCTTCCTCACCTGTCATTCACAAAGGAGAACATGAGCAGTCTCTGCTCGATGAACCATTTCCACTCTGGGTTTTCGTTCTGCAGGTCCCGGTAGTTGTCATTGGAGACAATGATGCCATCCTTCTCATAGGCCACCTTCACGATGTAGCGGTCATCGTAGCAGACCACTCGCTTGCCGTTCACCTTGCGGGATGGGGTGTACACCAACACAGCTTGCCGTTCCAGCTCCTCCAGCACGTGTTGCTCTGAGGCCACGGGGTGGAGACTTGAGTCAAAGCTCCACGGAAGGACCTGTCTCCCAGTCCAGGATCCCACCCTGAGCCATCTGCCTCCATCCCTGCCCCAGCCCATCAGAGCTGGACAGGTTCTAAGGGACTAAAGTCTAGGCTGGCTTCAACTTCACAGCTTCCCCGCTTCCGCCTCGTGGTTTTGGGGTTATTATCCTTGCCGCCAAGGCTGGATTACTATTTAATGCCTACAGTCCTGGTATCGGAAAGTAAGAGCAGAAGGAACAGGAGCCAGGGTTAGAGGGGACCCTGCTTCAAGCAACAACAAAAGTGCATAGTACAATACACCTAAAGTACTTGCAATAAAAAGTGTCACTGACTCTGAGAATGGGGTGTGTCCTGCCTGGAAAGTCCCCGCTGCCCATCCCGGTCCAAAGCCTGTCTTCCCCTAAGATAACCTGTTATAAAACGTCATATTGACAGCTCCCTTCCCTTTTATTCTCACGGATACACATGCGAAAGGACCATTTTCAGTGTGGTCCTGCCTTGGACTTCACCCAATGAATAGTCCCTATCCATACTTATGTAATGGTTTCCTTGTTCACTTACCATATGGTGACTCGGTCTGGCCATGCTCACATGTTTGCTACTCTCAGCCAGTGAGTCTCAGGCATGGATAATCAGGGAACCGCCCGGGGCAGATCTCTAAAATATTTTCTGGCTGCCAGGCATAACGTGATCCCTTGCAAGGTTTTATTTTGCATTTATTTCTGGTTATTCTTGAGATTGAGCATCTTTGCCTATTTTTACTGCTCAGTTACAATTTTCTTGTATAGAAGGCTTATTTATGGAATAGGTCATCTTTCGGTGGGTTCCTGTTCCTGCCTCATTAATTTGGAGGTGTGGGGCAGGGAGAGAGGCTGCATTGGCAGAGTGGCGCCCTGTTACTCATGAAACTTGGGTTTAACCCCTCACTGCATAAAACGAGCCACAGTGGCCTATACCTGTAATGCTAGTGCTTGGCACTGCAAAGCAGAAACAGGAAGGTCAGACACTCAGGAAGGGACAGCCTGGTGCAGTCTAGACTCTTCTCTCTCTCTCACAATTTCTCATTTCTATTTGTTTGCTTTTGCCATTGGTGTCTGTTTGTGAGCTGAAGTTTTTTACCTCAATGTGGCCAATTCCATTCATTTTTTTCTGCCAAGTATGTTAGTACACATAGCACTTGGGAGACTGAGGCAGGAGAATCATCACTGCTTTGGCTCTAAAGTGAGTTCCAGGCCAGCAATAGCTATATATCAAAACTCTGTAGTAATAATAATAATAATAATAAAACAAAGCAATCTGTTTATTCAAACCACAGTATCCTACAAGCTATAGCGTAGTCTATCAACCGGATTTAAGAATTAAACAGATGGCTGGGCAATGGTGGCACACGCCTTTAATCCCAACACTTGGGAGGCAGAGGCAGGAGGATTTCTGAGTTCGAGGCCAGCCTGGTCTACAGAGTGAGTTCCAGGACAGCCTGGGCTATAAGAGAAACCCTGTCTTGAAAAACCACAAAAAGAAAAAAAAAGAGTTAAACAGATGGCAGCCAAGACTGCTATATCCAGCAAAATGAGCAATTATTGACTAAGGAAAAAATTTATCATTAAAAAACAATTTAAAGCAATTTCTACCCACCAATCTAGCTCTATGAAGACAGTAGAAAGAAAACTTCCATCAAAGAGAAGGTTAACTACACCCAGAAAGATAAAAGGAATAAATAATCTCAAAAGAGTTAATAAAAGGGGGGGAGGAATACTTACATACCACAACAATGAAATAATATGAATTAGGTACTCCTCACTGATAAGTCTCAATACTAATGGTCTCAAGTCAGCAACAAAAACATGTTGGATTAGAAAGAAAACAGGATCCTTATTTCTGCTGCATCCAAGAAACACACCTCACCACCAAGGATAGAGACTACCTTGGGGTGAAAGGATGGGAAACTTTATTCTAAGAAAACAGACCCAAGAACCACACAGATGTAGCCATTTTAACACCTGACAAAATAGACTTCAAACCAAAATTTAACCAGAAGAGATGGAGAAAGACATTACATCCTCATTAAAGGGAACACACACACACACACACATACACATACACACACACACACATGCATACATGTACATGCATACATAATACACACACAAATATAAGTACATATATATACATATGTATATGTATGTAAATATATATATATACCAAGAGGATATTGTAATTCTAAATATTTATGCACCAAACACAAGGGCTCCCAAGTTTATAAAAGAAACACATCTGTGGCTACAATCACATATTGACCCTCACACAGCGATCGTGGGTAACTTCAACACCCCACACTTGACAACAGACAGGTCATCTGGATGAAAACTAAACAGAGTTAAATAACATCATAAATTACACAGACCTGGCAGATATCTACAGAACATTTCACCCAAACACTAAAGAATATATTTTCTTATCAGCTCTCAAGAAACTTTCTACAAAATTGACCATACACTTGGACACAAAGCAAGTCTCACCCACATACAAGGAAAGTGAAATAACATCCTGCATTCTAACTGACCACTGCAAATTAAAACTGGGTATCAGCAACAGCAGAAACAGAGGAAAGTACATACATTTTTGGAAATGAACAATTTACCACCTTGAAAACTGGATCAAGACAGAAACCAAGATGGAGATTGAATAAAAATGAAAACACAACATATTCAAACCTATGGGACACAATTAAGGCAGTTCTAAGAAGTAAGTTCATAGACTAAATGCCTACATTAAAATAATAATGAAAGAGAAAGAGAGAGAGAGAGAGAGAGAGAGAGAGAGAGAGAGAGAGAGAGAGAGAAGGGAAAACTGGCAATCTTATATTAGTAACTTAGTAGCATACCTCAAAGCTCTAGAGCAAAGAAAAAATAATACAAAAATAAATAATAAATAAAAGGAGCAGATGTCAAGAAATAATCAAACTCAGGGCTGAAATCAATGAACTAGAAACAAGGCAATACAAAGAATAATGAAATGGAGAGTTGGTTCTTTGAGAAAATCAGCAAGACTTGGCAAATAGTTTGTCTGTTCTAAGTAAAACACATGCACACACACATACATACATACACACACACACACACACACACACACACAGAGAGAGAGAGAGAGAGAGAGAGAGAGAGAGAGAGAGGATCCAAATTAATAAAATTAGAGCTGAGAATGGAGACATTACAACAATCACTGATGAAATTCAGAGACACATAAGGACGTACTTTAAAAATATATACTTACTCCTCCCAACTGGAAAACCTAAAGGAAATGGATGGACTCCTTGATATACGTGGCCTATCAAAGTTAAATAAAGATTTAATAAGCAGTTTAAATGTACTCATAATCCCTAGTGAAATAGAAGTAGTATTTAATAAAAGTCTCTCTCAACTAAGAAAATCCCAGTGTCAGACTTTCAAAGAATAATTAACACTAATATTCTTCAAAGTATTCTGTAGAATAGAAACAGATGGATGTGAACACAGATGCAAAATTTTCTCAATAAAATACAGGTAAACCAAATACAAAAACACATCCAAAGAATTCTCCACCATGATCGAGTTGGCTTCATCTGAGAATTGAAGCTCGGTGTACATAAACCAATAAACACAATTCACCACCTAAACAGATTGAAAGGCAAAACCTTATCTCATTAGATGCAGAAAAGGCCTTGACAAAAATCTAACATCTCTTCATAATAAAAATGTTAGGGAAACCAGGGATATAAGGGGGATACCTCAACACAATAAATATAATCTATAGCAAGCCCACAGTCAACATCAACCTTAACAGAGAGAAACTCAAAGCATTTACAGTAAAATCAGGAACAAGACAAAGATGTCCATTTTCTCCCTGCCTACTCAAGATAGTCCTTGCCGTCTTAGCTAGAGCAATAATACAGGTGAAGGAGCTCAAAGGGGATTTGAACAGAAAAGGAGGAAGTTAAAGTATCTTTATCTGCAGATCATATGATTGTATACATAAATGACACTAAAAAAATTCCACCAGGAAACTTCTACGGCTCATAATCACCTTCAGCCAAGTAGTAGGTTACAAAGTGAACACAGAAAATTCATCAGTCTTCCTATACACAAATGACAGACAAACAAAGAAACCAGGGAAACAATATCTTTTATAATAGCCTCAAAAAAATCTTGGGGTAACTCTAAGAAGTAAAAGACTTGTATAATAAAAACTTTAAGACATTTAAGAAAAATACTACAGACACCAGAAAATAAAAGAATCTCACTTGTTCATGAATCAATAGGGTTAATATTGTAAAAATTGCCATCCTGCCAAAAGCAATCTACAGATTAAATAGACTCCCCATCAAAAGCTCAAGACAATTATTCACAGAAATTAAAAGGACAATTTTGGAAACACACATACAGAGACAGCTAAAATAATACTGAATAATAAAAAAAAACCTGCTGGAGCTGTTACCATCTCCACTCTCAAATTGTACTACAGACCTATATTAATTTAAAAAAAACCACCATAGTGGGGATAAAGAGATAATTCAGTGGTTTAGAGCACTAATTGCTCTTCCAAGAGGACATGGGTTCAACTCCCAGCATCCCCATAGCAACTCACAACTGCCTGTAACTACTCTTCCAGGGGATTTGACGCTCTCACACAGACATACATACAAACATACAGACAGACAGACAGACAGACAGACAGACAGGCAAAACACCAATGTACATAAACTAATAATAATAGATTATTTTTTTTAAACCCACCATGGTGTTGGCATAAAAAGAGACTCATTGGTCAATGGAATTGAATTGAAGACCCAGGTAAATACAGACACCTATGGACACTTCATTTTTGACAAAGAAACCAGAAATACACACTGAAAAAAAAGACACCATCTTCAACTTACTGCATGTAGAAAAATCCAAATATATTCATACTTATCACCCTGCACAAAACTCAACTCTAAAGGGATCAAGGACCTTAACTTAAGGCCAGATACCCAGAATCTTATAGAACAAAAAGTGAGAAATAACCTTGAACTTCACTGGCACAGGAAAAGACTTTCTGAACTGAAGACCATTAGCACAGGCACTAAGATGAAACTGAGGAGCTTCTGCACCACAGAGGACACTGGACAAAGCAGCAGGTTACAGAATAGAAAATGATCTTTACTAATTACATATTCAGTAGAGGGTTCATATCTAAAATATAGAAAGAACTAAAAAAAAAAAAAACCTGAACAAGAGGAAAAAACAACTAAAACAACTCAATTTTAAAAAATGGGCACAGACCTAAACAGAGGGTAGTTCCCAACAGATGAAACACATATGGCTGAGAAGCACTTGAAGAAATGTTCAACATTCTTAGTCATAAGAAAAAATGCAAATAAAAACCACTTTAAGATTTCATCTCACAATATCAAGATCAATAAAACAAATGACAGCTCATGCTGGTGAGGATGTAGGCAAAAAACATTCATCCATCACTAGTGACCGTACAAACATGTACAGCCACTGTGGAAGTCAGTATGTCAGTTCTTGAGGAAGATGGGAATAGATCTACCTCAAGAACCTGCTATCCCACTCTTGAGCATGTACCTGAAGGACCTCACATCCTGCTACACAGACATCTGCTCATCCATGTTCATTGATGCTCTGTTTATGATAGTCAGAAATTGGAAACAGCTTGATGTCCATCAAGTGATGAATGGATAGGGCTGGAAAGATGGCTCAGCGGTTAAGAGCATTGGCTGTTCTTCCAGATGTCCTGAGTTCAATTCCCAGTAACCACATGGTGGCTCACAACCACCTGTAATGGGATCCAGTGCCCTCTGTTGGAGGGTCTGAAGACAGCTACAGTGTACTCATAAAATAAATTTTTAAAAAATCTTTTTTTAAAAAAGTGATGAATGGATAAAGAAAATGCAGTGTGTTTATTCAGTAAGGTGTTATTCAGCTGTTAAAAAATTAATTTATGAAACCTACAGGTAAATGAGTGGAGGTGGGAAAAACATCCTCCTCAGAGACACAACCCAGACCCCGAAAGACAAATATTGTATGTTTTCTCTTGTATGTGGGTGTTAGCCTTTAAACTTTCAATATGTGTGCTAGCATCTGAATGACCACCAAGGTTAGGTGTCCAGTAAGTGATTAGCAAGAAGAGGCTCTACCAAGGAAGAGGAAATAGAATATATTGTTATGGAGATGGGAAAGGAAAACCAGAATAGGAGGATAAAAAAAGGACCATGGGGAGAAACAGCTACCAGGTAAGGCCAAAACCAGAATAGGAGGATAAAAAAAGGACCATGGGGAGAAATAGCTACCAGGTAAGGCCATTTGAACTACTACTGTAGAAGCTTCCTAACACATATACATACACGAGAGGAATCAAAATGGAGTCACCAAATGACAGAAGAGACAAGTCCCAAGTAGGCATCCTGTGCCACCGAGTAAAACCTCCAGGGTTGGGAATGGGTTAATTTTATTGCATTATCCGCCCCATGGCGATCCTCAGACATCACGGGCTAATGGTTACCCTCCACATCTTGACGGTAAATCTCTATTATTGAAGACACAACTTATTTATGTCTTCAAATATGAGAAGTTGAGTTGGTGCATAACTAGTAGCACCCCATCCACTAACTAGCGTTCATGACCCTGGAAGGTACTCTTACTAATACCCAGCTGCAAACCTCACAGCCTACAACATGCTTGCAAGATACATGGACTCAGCAGTGGTGCACCTGTTTGGGGAGAAACAAACCACTTTCTGATTTCTTTCAGGCCCATTCGGAGAGATGCCGCTAAAGCGGGGAGAGCCTACAACCAGACAGGTCAGGGGCCTAGTGGAAAACCTTTTACTATTATTCTGTTAAAGGAGCACGGCTGTTAAATGGCTCCTAAAGATGCTGCTATACTCACAGGTCAGTCTCTCACTCAGCTTATACAAGAAAATCTTCCTGCAGTAGATGGAAATTAGCACAGAGCACCTCACATGAATAGTGTGCAGAATATTAGAAATGTTGTAGCACTCGGTCCTCAATAGGATGTCTTTATCACACTCCTCCCCTCAAGGCTCAGGGATCTATGCAGAAGAGGTAGAGAGATTGTAAGAGGGAAACCATGTCTTCCAGATGCAAGAGGCCTGATGTACATATGAACTCACAGAGACTGTGACAACTCATACAAGACCTTCACAGACTGAAGCCAGATGTCATCCCAGCACTGAATGGGGGGACTAGATACAAGGTCCCCCGCACCCATCAAGAAGTTATCTACAAATAAGAGTTGCAGCTAAAGAGACTATCAGTTTTCTCCAACGGAATCTCGCTGAATATATCAATGATCCCCCAGGGCAAGCCCCACACCCAGGAGTGGCTGACTAATGACAAAATAAACCCAATGGTAGTTTTGTGAATGTTTTGTTTAATTTTGCTTTGTTTGGGCACTTTTTGTCTTGTTAATATTTTGGTTGTTGGTTTTGATTTTCATTTTGTGTTTTTGTTGGGGGTTCTTTTTTGGTGTATATTCGTTTTTGTTTTGCTACTTTGAGAGAGAGAATGAATTTAAAGTTGGGTAGGTAGGGAGGTGTAGACAATCTAGGATGATCTGAGGGAGGTGAAAACATGATCAAAATATATTTTATGTAAAAAACATTTTTCAATAAATAAAAATGTATCTGGGAGCCAGAAAAAAAAAAATGGCTCATGGGCTGTCCCTGCAGAGAACCAGAGTTAGTTCCAAGTACCCACATTGGGTATCTCACAACCATTAGTAACTCCAGCTCTAGTAATTCAACAGCCTTTCAGGCTTCGGAAGGCATTCACACTTGGGTGTGCATGCACATAAGCGTGTGCGCGCATACACACACACACACACACACACACACACTATACATATATTATGCATAAATGAAACAAATTAGAAACACATGTCTAACAGAATGCTGATCTAGCATGGGAAAAGCCTCTGGTTTGATCCCAAGCAATGAAAAACAAAAACACTAAAAATAAATGTCCATTTCTTCAAATAAAGAGATTGGAGAGGTATTTGACAAATAGCAAATATACTCTGACAAAATGTCTCCTTCAGATCCTACCTATTGGATATGAAGTATAGATCCAATCTTCAGAGAGTTAAATGTTGTAAGACACAATCGTTTGATAGTATAAATGCATTCACAATAAATGATAAAGTGATGTCTGTAAGTGGGCAAGTAAAGATTTAGACATTATTTATCTGTTCAACAAGTTTTTGTGTCCTTTCTACTCTGAAGAAGTGCTACGAGTGAGTGCTCAGTGTTCATAATCAGGGCTCTTGTGTCCCTGTCAGTACTGGAGAAAGACCCTATACCAGTAATGGGAAATTGACCACCATCTTGAGGGACACCACAGAGCAATGGTGGCATACCTCTGATGGGGGTATCAGACCTTGATGGCTCTTTCCTCCAAGATGGGACAAAAACCTTGATGTAGGTGTGTCCTCTGTCTCTGAACCAGTCCACAGCCAGACGAATTCCCCGGCAAGAGAAGGCTTCTTTATTTCCATGGCTACAATGGAAGACAGAGAAATCTGAGAAGACACGAAAAAGATCCTGAAAGTATCCTGCGCCACAGCCTCAAAACTAAGAGGGGGCTGGAAAAAAGCAAAGTTTAAACACAGTGCGTTCTTCCCCCAGACCATAACTACGGACTAAACCCAGGTAGCTTTCAATCAAGATGCAGGGCTGTGCTCCGGCTGCAGGGGATGGAGGGTAGGAAGTTGTGGGAAAATATTCCAAAGGGTAATCGACCTGTCCACTCTTTAACTGAATTTATAAGAGCCAACACTGAAGGGAGAAAACAAGAAGAATCAACATGAAATAGACAAGACTAGGCATCTGTAGAATTGCTCTCCCTCAGAGATGATTGTATTGGCTCTGCCAGGGCTTCAAAGTCCAAGCAAGGAAGCCAGTGCCTCCCAAATCCCACAAAATACACCAATGTTGCAGAAAGGGAAGGGCTATGTGAGACTATGCTGTATCTTGTCAGCCTCGTAAAAACCATCTTCCTAGCCAGGCATGGGGGACACACATCTTTAATCCCAGCATTTAGGAAACAGAGGAAAGTGGATCTCTGTGAGTTCTGGGCCAGCCTGGTCTACATAGTGAGTTCCAGGCCAGCCAGTGATACATAGTGAAGCTATGTCTTAGAAAAAAGAAATTATCTTCCTTAAGAAGAGGATGATGGCACATGCCTTAATCCTAGTACCTTACCTAGTACACACACTCGGCCAGACCCAACCACCTGTTTCATCAATTTCACAAGTGCACGTCATACTTATATACATACATATGTAGACACATAGACATATATACATATTACATATTGTATATACATCATACATACATACATACATACATACATACATACATACATACGCATGTATGTATATCTACACATACATTTGGTGGATGGAGCAGAGCCCCAACAGTCACACTTTATTTTTTCTCTCAGCCTTTTTCTACCTTCTTAGACAAAAGTTCTTCATGGAGTTACCTCACAGGTATAATGTTACACAAAAGGGAAGTTAGAGAAGAATGTTAATAGTAAGTTCAAAGGAGTGTTTCATTCTATAAGCTCATTATAAGTTCAAAGCAACAGTCTCACATGGCCTTGCTTTATCATGGTGTACACCTGTGGCCTCATCCTTGGACCTGACCTAGAATGAATGCTCTTCCTGGATCAAAAATCTGTCCCAAGCCTATCTCTCTTCTTAGTGCAATTTGTGAAAGCTCATTGTTTTCCTTAGTATGCAGCTTTTACTTACTAGTCTATGAGGAGGGGGTACATTTTATTCCTGATTTTAACTTTATTACATCTTTCTGGCAAAACAGCTAAAATGATCTCCTTAAACTTTCTTCCTAAAATTATCTGAATCAAATCAGGAATTCTATAAAATCATTAATTCATCTAAACAGCATTATTATATGAAAGCACATCTTCATATTGATCTGCAGGAAATTTGCAAAATTTGCTGATGCCCAGGAATCATTAGGTTATGTAATAGTGGCAGGAAAGAAATATCAGCAGCAAGAAGCAATCCTGGCACTGAGTCCCTGGGGTCCATGTCTCTCAGGGTCCACCCATCACAGCCATGCAAAACAGTGGGCCACACTTGACTGCCATAACCCTTTCTCCATGGCTTCTGTCACAGGTCTACTGTTGCCCAGAAGCCAGGAAAAGAGGCAGCCAAGTGCCCTGTGGGGGACTGGTGAAATCTAAAGGCTTCACTTGAAGTTGGTCAGTTCAGGTCATTGGTGTTTTGCTGGAGACAGAGAGAAGTGGCTGGACCTGTGACAGTGTGAGGGGAATCGACAGGCTGAGCCATGGATGTGGCAGCACCCGGCCTCTAGGTCAGACCATTTTCTCTACTTCTCCGTATTCCCTCCAGCTGTTCACTCAGCCACGGGCCTCTTGCAGTCACTATCCTTGTCCTCTCACCGAATTCACGCCTCTTCCTTCTTCCCTGCGGCAGCAGCAACAATATCACACACACACACACACACACACACACACACACACACACACTCCCAGGAGCTCTACAGAACCAAGGTCCCAGGGCCTGACTAGCTTGGTCCCTGATTATTTGTGAAGGCTTACTAAAAACCTGCCGAGTAGATTCATGATGGAGAAGATACCTACCTCATAACCAGCAGAAAGAGGGACATCACAGGCAAAAGGGAGGGTTGCCTGGAAAGACTCTAATACAGCCCTATTCTGGGGACCAGAAACATAGCAATGTGCCCATAAGTCAAAGAGGAAGTACAAGGGACATAGAGACCAGAACAGGAAGAAGCCAGAGGCATCGGATCCATCTAGAGCTGGAGTTGACAGTTGGCTGTGAGCTGCTTGGTGTGGGAACTGAGCTGGGGTCCTCTAGAAGAGTAGCGAGTACTTGGAACTGCTGTGCTGCCTTTCCAGCCTGAGCCAGTTCTTAGAAGGCTGTCCAGAAGCAGTCAGCCCCCATCCAGTTGAAGACCACACTGTTTCCCTAACTGTACTCCATTGTGTGTCCCTGCTGTTTTCCTGGGAGTGTGGGACAGACACAGGTTTACAGAGTGAGAAGGGATGTCTAGGGAAGAAACTAATCTGTAGAACGAAAAGCCAGACTCCCAAAGGATATAAGCTATCTCTGGGAATTTCTTCAGCTTCAGTCGCAGTTAAAGGATCCTGACTTGGCCGGCCAGGTTAGCATTTCTCTCATCAGTCATAGAGGCTGCACTAGGAAGGTTGTCCAAACAGTAGGGATAAGATACCAACCAGATGCCTTGGGAAAGTAGGAGGAAAAGAAAAGCTAGTCCCTACCACCCACCCAGACTGGCTGAAAGAAGAAAGAACATAGTGAGGAGGTCATTCTCTGGGTTCGTCCTGACCCCTTCTCTTTCTGATAAGTCCCTGGAGAAGCAATGTCCAAACTCTCCCCAAACCAGGCTGCCTGGTTTGAAAGTGGTCCATAGTGGAGCTGGAAACAACTCCCCAGACCTCTTGCAGGCTCTAGGCCTGGTAGTTAGTTGTTAGAGAACTAGGGATGGAACAACAGGTCTCTGCTGGAGAGGAATATTTTAAACAATCATTGATTCACACACACCCCACCAAAAGCCAAATGACACTTCTGTAAGAAGTCTTAGAAATTCTTTTTCTAAACAGCACTGGACCACAGCAATCAGCAAGGTCTCCGGGGCAACACAGGCCATGTCCAGAATTGGAGCTTCCGCCCTAGGGAAAGTTGTCTTATAAACCACCAGACATACTCCTTTGAGGACAACAGTGATCAAAAGATGTAACAACTTCTTAGGATAACATCCAGCAGTCTGGAGCTAAAACAGAGGGCCATGTTTTGACCATGACTGCCTTATTTCACATGCCTCTTCCCCCCTCTCCAAATCTTCCTTTATTTAAATCTGAAGTTCATTTCAATACTCTGAGTTTAGGGTCCCTGGGTCTCTTTATCTGTTTCTCTTCTTGGTGCACATTAAGACTGTTTGCTGCTTTCTCCAATTCCTTGTTTCTTTAATTAGCATGTTTCGACAGGTGCCAGTGCTTAGCTATTGAGGCTGCTAAAGCCTCAGATTTTGACCTAAAATTCTCATTACAATTCCAGCTCACCAGGACATCCTGTGGCAGAATATGAGACCCAAGACCTCCTGTCCCAGCTATCACAGGTGGGATCTACAGTGATTATTGAGAAAGGAGTCAGAGCAGGGATGGAACCACAGAGCTAGACCCAGGCTAGACTAGGTGGAAACACCATACAGGTATAGACAAATGTCAGCTCAGCCACTCTCCTTTGTAAAAACTGAGGAAAGATCTGTCCACTAAGGGAAATATAAGCGTACTCTGGGGCTGGAGACATGGCTAAGTGGTTAAGAGCACTGACTGCTCTTCCAGAGGTCCTGAGTTCAAATCCCAGCAACCACATGGTGGCTCACAACCATCCATAATGGAATCCAATACCCTCTTCTGGTGTGTCTGAAGACAGCGACCGTGTACTCACACATATCAAAATTAAGTAAATAATTCTTTTTTAAAAAAGAGCACTCTGGACAGACACCCCCTCCTCCACATTCCCTCCCTCAGGCACACACAGCTCCTGAACAGTCATCCAGCCCCAGTGGAATCTCAGACACAATGGTCACTACCACAATTACTCTGAAAAGTTTCCTCGCTGGGTCCCCTGGGACTCTCAGTGAGTCTGTCTTAATTACTCTGAAGCCATGTAGCATTTGTGTGTGCTCGTTAAACTGATAGACACAGACTTAAAGGCAGGTGCAAATGGCAACCCTCTTTGCAACCTAGATCACTAGTCAGTGAGTTCTGAGATCTGTAGAAGGAGTATGATAGTTGAGACAGCTTGAAATGTCGACAGCAGTAAAAACATAATTGGCTCAAAAACAACTGACAAAAAAAAAAAAAAACAGCTTTCCTTCCCTGATCTTTTGATGGGTATGTTTGGGCAGAGAGAAAAGGAGGAAAACTGAGTCCTGGTAGAGGTCCAGTCAGGAGAGGACAGTCACCCTTGGTCCCTTTCAGAAGGAATGTGTCCACCTGGGCGTTTGCCCTTGTCTTTGCACCAACTCACAAACTTCTAGTACAGGATAGTGCTGGAGGTAAAACACCCGCCAGGGGTGCCCCCTGTAATCCTAGTATTTAGGAAGTTACAAAACAGAATGGTGAGCTTGAGGCTAGCCTTGTCTAACATTGAGTTTCAGACTAGCCTAGACTATAGAGAAAGACCTTTCCTCAAAAGATTCCAAGCACAGAGCCCCAGGACATAGCTCAGTTGTCATGCTTGCCTGGCATGCACAAGGCCCTGGGTTCGTTCCTGGCATCAAATAAGTCAGCCATAGCTGTGCATGACTCTAATCTCAGCACTCAGGAAGCAGAGACAGGAAAATCTTGAGGTAAAGATCGGCTTTGGCTACATTGGAAGTTTGGGGCCAGCTTGATCTACATAAAACCCTGTCTTAAAACAACAACAAAAAAGAAAAGCTGGAAAAGAAGAAAAGGGA